TATCGTGCCCATTTGTTCTGCACTGATCAGAGCATGTTTTCCCCACATATCAAGGTCTGTGACAGTGCTGAGCAGCAGAGATACCTGCTAGGAAGGGTAAATCTGAACTCCAATAGACAAACATCTGTGGCTTCCTTGCAGGTGAGAAATAAAATAAACCCACAAGCCCTGTTTCAGAGCAGTGTGCTTAATTTGATTTTTATGGCTTTGATAGCAGATTACAGTAATGCTATCACAAAGCCTCACAGCCACAGTCACAGTGGACAGTGTGATTTCAACACCTCCTCCACTAATCTTTTTGCCCACTGCTCCCTTTCCCTGGCTGCTAATTTCACACAGGCACTTAAACATGATGGATAATTGTGTTCTGCTTATCAATGTTTAATTTAAGGGCTGTTCCATCTGACCTGGATGCCCTCTGCAAGAGCTATGCCTCATTATTGATTTCATGGTCACACCTGTGACATTACCTGCTTTGTAGGAAGTAGACTTTGACATTCCTGTGAGGTTTTGGCAGCCAGAGATAATTGTCAGAAGAATAATCGAGTCAGCAAAATCATTACAGGTGATCTGTGTGTTACCACTGTTTTATCTGCCTCTAATTAGGTGCAGGAGTGGTAACTCATAGCAGTAAGCATGCTGCAGTGGTTTTGATGTCTGCAAATAAAGCTCGATGAACACAGGAGGGAAGTTATTCATTAACAGCTGTGCTCCAGCTTGCCCATGTCTTGTGCCGGGGCCATATCCTTTCCTGGAGTAACCAGGAATCTGGATACGATCACATGCAGACTGTGGGCACTGCTGGGGTGCAAAACCTGAAGCACATTTAGGATGGAGCAAAGGATGGTGCATGCTCTTGCTATTTCTGGATGGAGCAGGCCTGCTCTGCATTCAGCATGGTAGAGGCAACTGCAAGGCAGAGGCTGGGGACATGGGATGGGGAGGAAGGTCCAAGGCTGCTGCCCCAGCTTTAGTCTCCTCCAGACTTTGGAAGTCAGCTGTGTAGGTGACAGGTACACTGAGTTCTTAATAATCACTGCGGATAGCTGGCTTTTATAATTTCATTGCACCTGTGGGAAAAGACAAGAGTGGATTAATTCCTTCCTCGTTTGTTATGGCTGTAACCAGGCTGGGACATGGTAACAACGGAGGTGCAGTGCAGAACAGTATGTTGTATGCAATCACACTGGATTCTTTTTTCAAGAGGAGCTCATCTCCAGTTGAAGTGCTGCTCTGCTCCTGATGCCACTGTTGCCAGTGCAACACGCATCCCAGTGGGTTGGGGCCAGTGGTCCTTGAAGGTCTGTTCCAACAGAAACACTTCTGGTTCTCTGAGTCTCTTGAGGTCTTCTTCCTGCTGTCAGTGTTGTGAGGTCAGTCAAAAGTTTTCCTTACAATAATGACTGGAACAACAAGGGTGGTAGTATCAAAATCTGCACTTGGCAAAGGAAGAACTTGTCGTAGAGAAAGAGAAGTCAGTTTTGGTAATGAGTTTGGCTTCTGTGCTCCGTGTGTGTCCTGCCTGCTTGGGAACCTGCCTGCTTCTGGCTTCCAGTGGAGAAGCACCGCTGTGCTGGGCAGGATGTGAGGCGTGCACTGCCTCGGGTGCCCATTTCAGAGCCCTTCCTGTGTGAGCAGGTCTGTGGCACAAGCGTGTGTGTGAAGGAGTCACCAAAATGGAAAAGCTGGTTCTTACTGTACTGGTTATCTATTCTCTGCTTGAACCTGTATCTGGAGGAGTGGGACCGTACTGTTACTGTGGACCCAATGCACTGCCCTGTCTTTGTATTCCCAGGCTGATGGCAGCCTCAGTCTGCTGCAAACATGAAAAGTGGGTGGGAGATGATGCATGGACAACCCCTGGGTCTTCTCAGGAAGAAACATTACAAGTCCTCTATTGCAGAGAGTCTGTTCTATTGCATTGGCAAAAGGGCTCCTGAGCTAACCCCCAACACCTGAACCCTCTGCATTTTCTAATGCGTCCTTTGCAGTAATTAATTACCTCTCCAGTGCATTCATTTATTTCATACTGTTACTGGCAATCAGTTAGATAAAGGGGAAAAAAAACATGTTGGTGCCCTGTGGTATTGAAAGTGAAGGGTTTTCACACTGTCAGGGTAATGAATTCTGCAAGGGTTTGAAGTACCTGAGCTTGGGGAAGTCCTTGTGTCATGTGTCTAGGAGTGACAACCCCCAGTGGTTAATTACTGCCATGGATGAGACTTGAGCTGATAGCAAAATGAGATAATTTCATTAGTAGTTAAGTGTGAAGTTAATTGGACTCACATTTACACACAGCAGTGTACAAAGACACAGTTGGAAATGCTCTTCACCTCTTTTCTTAACAGAAGGTAAGTAAAATGAAGAATGTTTCTGAACCCCTCCCTCATTCTTCCTCCCACTGTGGTTTGGGGATGAGGGAGGCAGTTTCCACTGCACGCTGCCAGGCCGTTATCTTGTGCAGGGCTGCAGACCGGCCCATGTCCATGACCTGTCCATGCTGCTGGCCATGCTGCTTGGGGAGGGTGTTGCTGACTTCTCCCGCTGCTGGTTGCAAAATAATGTCTTTTATGGAAGAAAATTACTTATTTGCACTTTTTCTGGGAAATGATAATTTGCTGTCAGTGCCAGCACGCCATCAGCTCGCAGTGAATGGAAGGACGGACATTCATTGCGTATCTGCTGTATGCAGGGCCAAGCACTTTGACACACATCTGCAGCCCCTGGTCCCACTGCGCCAGTTGATATTGTTGTTATTTAGCATCATTATATTTTACTTTCTGGAGGAATGTAGAATGAATTCCAGCAGGAATAAGCCTCAAAATGATGTGCAGCGTTTCATCCCTGTAGCAAGCTCAAGATGGACACGTTTACTGACTGGATTAGACCAGCGTGTTCCTTGTTGCAGGATACTTTGTTGGGAAACGTCTTCTAAATGTCACATTACTTGGCGTGCTGCAGCACTTTAATCCATCAGACTTGTGACAGCCTGCTAAGGAAGTGGTGGATTTTTTTCTCTATCGAGGAGATGGAACAGCCAGGATCACCTCCAGATGTGGTCCTCTTCTAGTCCGCATCTTCCTGCACCTTTGCATTTTCAGAGGGGGGTTCTTTGTCTGTATGGCACTCTGACAAGGGCTGTGGAGTGCAGATAATTCTGTATTCATGCTTTTCTGTTCAAACATTACTTCTGGGTTAACTACTGTTTTTGTCCTGTGCCAGTCAACATTCTTTGAACTGGTTCCTGGTTGACTTGCAGTTCTGGTGGGTGATGACAGTTGGCTGTCTGGTTTGTGGAAATAGGATACTGTAGGAAAGTGGTGTGCTGTTTGACACCAGTGCCATCCACGCTCATGTGAAAGCATCCCATCCTCTCATTTGTGTCTCCTCAACTTCCCCTCCCTTCCCCTCCCTTATCCTGTGTCTGTGACAAAGGCAAAAATTATACACAGATAAGAAAGAGCTTGCTTGGGACCTGGGAATCATGGAATTGCAGAATTATAGAATGGGTTGGGTTGGAAGGGACCTTAAAGAACGTCGAGTTCCAACTCCCATGCTGTGGGCTGAGTTGTCACCTGCTCAAACAGTGTTTGGTTGAATTTTGCCTTGGTGGAAGGGCTGGGGGAGCAAATGAATCCCTGGCATGTGATGGGTTGGAGTCCACATTGCAGACAGACTTCAGGGTACTCCCCAGTGGCATGAAGGAGCCCAGTGAGGAGGTGGACCCCAGAGTGCAGCACGCTGCTCTGAATATTCACCCTCAGGGATATTGTGGATGGAATAATTTCATGGCCTTCAGGACTCTCTCCCTTGCTGAGAGGATCAGAAGCAGTTAGTTAGTTATCTGCAGAATGTAACCAAGTGTTTGTCAGCTAATCAGTGACCTGGTTTATGCCAAGCATACAGAGTCCATTATGCTGCTCTTGCCCCTCAGTCTCACTTTCCATTTGAGGAAAAAAAAAGAAAAGCTGGTTGTGTCTCCAGCCAGCACTGTAGCAGTGGTTGCTGGTGGGTCTTGAACATCTCAGAGGAGGACACTCCACAACCTCTATGGGCAGCCTGTGAAACTGAAGCGAGTGCAGCCTGAATGATCTCATCCATGGTGTGGGCTCAGTAGCATCCAGATGACATTTGAGCCAGGGGACAGGTGACAAACCCCTGCTGCAGGTGGCACACAGAACAGGGTCCCTTTTTCCTCCCCTGCCTGGAGATGATCTGCACTGTGGGAGATGCCGTCTTGGCAGGGTGCGGCCATTGCTTCCTCTGTGCCTTTGGTGAAATATCTACAGCTGTGGGCCCAAGGGCTGTGTGGAGCTTTGCCTGGAGCTGGGTTTGAAGCGAGGGCACCTCAGCACTCTGGATGAGAGGTATGATGAGGTGGGGGACAGCCCATAGCTGCTTTCTGCAGCGTTGTGTGCGGACCCTAATGACAGGTTTCCCTAGCATCAGTGAGGAGTACTGCATCAGGCTGTGAACTGCCTGCTCTTTTGCTGGAACCTCAGCTGTGTTTTGGAAATTAATTCATGTCCCAATGTGTGTGTGTGTGTGTGTGTTTCCCTAAATGACTTTAACTGAAGATGGAAATAATGCTTTTATCACATTTAGATCTCTGCAATCCATCAGCTCATACAGTGTAATTTTCTGGAGAGTTTCCTGGAGAAGTGCTGTTAAAATAAGCATTATTTTACAAACTTTGACTTTACAAAGCTGAACTTTGGAGAAACTTGGGAGCAAAAGGAGAGCAGTTGGAGTTCAAAACAGGGCTTCATCTCCCCACAGGAATCTGTTCTTCCCCTCACAAGCCCTCACTTTGCCACAGCATGATGGCAGCTGGTAGAATAAGCAGAACTGTTTCTCCTCTCTCCAAACAAGCTAGCAGCTGCTTGCTGACGCTTGCGGAGCTGTTGTGACAAACAGGTCTTTGCAGCAGTCAGGAATGTGTAGGAGCATGTCTGCCAGCGGTGATGCTCACGTGGTGATTTGTTGGTTTGATTCCTCAGGTCGCGAGCTGGCAAGCACAACCCTCCCAGGATACCCTCCACACGTCCCCCCTGCTGGACAGGGCAGCTATTCTGCCCCTGCGCTGACAGGAATGGTGCCTGGTGAGTCTGCAAAATGAAGGGGGGTGGAGAGGCGGCACTGCAGAGGTGTCCCACTGTGTCGGTGGGAGCTGAGTGCTCAGGGTCTGGCAGAGCTTGGCTCGTGTCTGTGTCACACAGTGCAGTGCTCACTTGGTACTGGCTGAGCATGTGCACACAGCTCTGAGCAGGATGGTGACATTTGGGTGCTGGCAGCAAGCAGCAGGTGAATGCCTGGTGCTAGGGAGTCTGCATGGGCTTGCTCCTGTTGAGCACAGGGGGCCTAGTGCTGCTGGAAATCAGTGTTCTCATTTCAGCCTGAAATAAACAATATCCCCAGGCCCTGCTGTCTTTGATTTGGGCATGACAGACATTGCTGTCTACAAGGGAAAGAAGTATTCTAAGCCCTAAACTTACATGTTAAAATTCATGAATCTGGACCCTAATCATAGAATGGCCTGGGTTGAAAAGCAGCACAATGCTCATTCATTTCAACCCCCCTGCTGTGTGCAGGGTCACCAACCAGCAGCCCAGGCTGCCCAGAGCCACATCCAGCCTGGCCTTGAATGCCTGCAGGGATGGGGCATCCACAGCCTCCTTGGGCAACCTGTTCCAGTGCATCACCACCCTCTGTGTGAAAAACTTCCTCCTAAAATCCAACCTAAACCTCTCCTGTCTCAGTATCGTATTGTTTGAAAATGAATGGGTACTCGGAGATTCTCTTTCTTTCCCCTACTTGTTGCTTTCCAAGCCTTTAAGGTCCTCTGAGATTGTCACTTTGGAGTCAGCAAGGTCAGACAGTTATTGAAGAAAATCTCCCAAAGTGGAATTTCATATGTAGTCACACGGCTTCAGGAGATGGTGGTTTGGAAAACAGCTCTCAGTAAGCAAGCAGTAGTCAATGGTAATTATTTATTGTCCTGGCTATTTTGGGATTCGTATTTTTGTCCCAAACTGATTATAATCTGTAATATGTGTTCCAGCCGATCACTGAAAAATTAAGAAAAAGAAACAGCCATTTTACTTGTGCTGGTTATGGAAGCTAGGTCAGAGGTTAAGTTGAAATAATTTTTACCCATCAAATATAATTTTTGGAAAGTTCTTCATTTCTTGTAAAGATCTGAATGCAGGTCTGAAAGGTTTGACTCCTTGCTGCATGCTATTTCTCAAGGACACACAAAGTTACTAGTAAGCTTTTCCATCCTCATTGAGGCTGTTCTTACTTCAGAGGCATTGCCAGCTGCTTAGATCAGCTGAAGGTCTGCACTTCCATTAACTTTTTAACATGGCTGTTACACTTTGAGCATTTGGAGCACCAGGATCAGTTAATCACATGTGTGTCAGGCAGGCCATGGAGATGTATGGGCAAATGAGGGTGCTGTGCATGAACCCGCAGTTACATACACAGCTTAGAGATGTAGCGCAGCGAGTGGGAAGCAGGTTCAGCAGTGTCTGATGTCCCATCCTGCCAGTCCCCTCAGCTCTTGCTCGGGCTGTCCTGTGCTGGCTCTTCACCAGAGCCCTGAGCCCCTGCTTTTCTCGAGGCTCATTCTGCCACTGAGGGTAAACCTGAGGACAAGGAAGGCAAGGGGGAGGTCGGCCTTATCTGGCATCTGCAGCTGCCAACTTACCCGTGGGAAGTTTCAGACAGCTTATGTGCACCTGAGAGTGGTGATCTGGAGGCTTTTAGAAACCTTGTGGGAATCCGTTGCCTTCTTTTGGACTTACACCCAATATGCAGCTCTGAGTCTCTGTCACCTCCCAGAGACTTTACTCTTCCTTTTCCTTTTGGTGGATGCCGGGGAATGGATGTGTCCATGGTTGCCACCTGTTTGGGCACACCTGCTGGAGCAGGACACAGAACTGTGAGAGTGATGGTCATGGCAGAGCTCAGCACAAGGAAATCCAGAGGGGGTTCGGTGATGTACAGTCATCTGAGCCAGTTTTCCTGGGTAATAGATTTTATTTTTAACTACACATAGGCCTCTGTGACCCGTTACATTGAATAACTGCACTGTTCCTCTCACTGGTTCCTTTAATAACAACCTTCTGCTCCAGCTAGTGTGAAGGTCAGCTGCAATTTCTTCAGGTTTGCTTTCTCATTTAAGTGAGAATTTGCTAACTAGCATCCCAAACATCTTCCCAATTCTTCTTTGCCTCTTGTCATTTGCCTGGCTGGGGAGAGCATGCAAAGCCAGCTGTCAGATCAGGGCTGGGGCCACAGAACATCCGTGGTAGTTCTGATATAGACACGTTGCCATGACCAAGCCTGTGCGCATCTGTTTTACCTTTTCACAGGGATTTACTTTGTGACCTGCTGCTTCCTTCTCATAGTTTTCAGAGCACTTGCTAGAAATATGCTTCCTCAATAAGTTTTTTAATTGTAAGCCACGAATTTCTGCTCATAATTAAGTATTTGTGAGAGCGAAGTAGTTAGAGGTGTGGGAGCAACAGATCCATGGTGAGATGTAAAGGGTTCTGTTCTGCCTCCTGCAGACATTGCTTGTGCTGCAGTGAGTTCACTGGCTCCTCAGTGCACTGCTGGTGCTTGCCTCATGTCTGTGGTGTCTGCCTCACATGGTGCGTGTGAAATGTGAGGGAAATGTCTGAGCCCCTTGGCGTTTTCACCAAGCATGCATGGATTCAGCTCCTTGTTCTCTTCTTACTGTTCTTCCCACCTCCCTGCTCTCCATCTGAACAAGAAAGGCTCCCCATTATCAGCCTGTCCTGACTCTCCATCAGCAGGACCCTCCCACAGGAGCATCTCCCCTCTTCACCTGCTGCATGGCCACTGCAGGCCCTGTTGCATGCTATGGCATGGAGCTGCTGGTGGACAGCTGGATGGGAAGACAACTGGTGGGATGCTTGAGCTTGGAGAGCGATGGTTGATGCCAAGCTCTGTCTGCACGCTGGATACAAGTACAGCACTGTGACATGCATCCAGGAGTCCATCCTATGTAATACCTTTATCCGTGCACAGGAGGCACAAGGGAAGGCAATACATGTTGACTGAAACAGATGGAGATAGGATACATGGGAAGGCTTCAAACTTCCACCCATCTGGATATCTTCAGATGCCTGGAGAAGCTGTTTTGTCTCTGTCTTTGTGGGTTTTCCAGTCCTGAGCACCCTGGTCTGGCTCTTTGCTCACTGTGTTGTGTGCAGGACCAGGAGATCTGCTGCAGTCTTGTGCAGCAGAATTACCCCATCATTATGTGACACTGTGTTTTGGTTACAGCGCTGCTGAAAACACATCACAGAATCAGGAACTGTTGAGCTTCTTTCTGGCATAATGATCAGAGCTGTAGCAGGAAGTGGCTGTCTGAGAACCAGTGTGCTAGCAGTCCACGCAGATACACGGGAGTGAGAGCTCTGCTCTGGATCAGAGCTGCTGTTAAACAACAGAGGTGTGGATCGCCTTCAGGATCTCGATGGAGGCTTCTGGCAGTGGCCTTGTCACAGGACAGAGACCGATGGCTCCATGAGGACCTGCAGAAATTGCCCTCTATCCTTCTCCCACCCTTGACCATTGTGCCCTCTTGCAGCCCCTTGGGGTGCAGCTTCTGGACCCACTGAGACCTCCTGTCTGCCTGCACCCTGTGCCTGGCTGCTCTGTGCTCAGCAGCTCAAGCTTGCCCATAGCTCTTCTGGCCCTGGTTTCAAAAGTGCTCAGATAACACCCCGTTACCCTCTGTGTCTTCTCCACTCTTTCCTCTCTCCTTGTCTTTGGGATGAGCCCTCTCCCGTGCCCTGCCTTCCCCAGGGCTGTCATTCACAGCGTCCTCCAGGGGCCTTCAGCACAGGCTGACAGGAAAGGGTACAGCATCCAGAATAGCGATGCTGAAAATACAGTCATTAATGGGACTCCTGAAACCCAGATGTCCTTTCTGAGCACCGGTAATTTGTTTTTAATGAAAAACCATGCAGTGACCCTGAACAAATGAATTTCCTTTATATGAAGTCCATGTGCAATTACCCAACTAAAGGGACCTGAAAACACTGACATTCAAAACTGGTCTTTGAAAAGTATAAAAATAGCAATAGTGCCACTTACAATTTTTCATCAAAAAAAAAAAAAAAAAAAAAGAGGCTCGTCCTGATGAGCAAAGCAGAAATGGTGTCGGGAGGAAAAAAACAACACATGGTTTTTAGAAGAATTTTTCCTTGCCATTAGTGGGTATTAATGCAGACAGGCCAGATTGTGTATCCTTTCTCTGCTTGGTCTATTTCTCCCATTCCAGTCCTGGATGGGAAAACACCCTCTGTCAACCTGCTTGGTACACAGTGATCTTTTACAAGGAACAGAAGCACAGGTGCTGTGTTGAGGCTGGGATCAAAAGACAGGAATGAGCAAGCAGCTCCTGCACTGAGCCTTCAGGGACAGGCTTCCCTACAGACTGAAACCTTTTGGTCATAGCTATCATTGTATATCCGTGCTATTTGTCCTGACTCTGCCCATGCCAAACTCATGTGATGGTGTGAAGCAGTAAATGTGACAGGAAGGGAGGTGGGAGGTAACACACTGACAAACATGGTCTGATGAAGAAGTCACTGTGTGTGGTTTGGTAGAGGCCATCAGTGTCAGAGCCGGAGGACAGCCCTGCACTGTCCTGATGGACTGCATGAGCTGAACTGGCTGCCTACTGGAACAGTGGAGCTGCTGCCACCAGTAAAACAGAAAGGAAAATCAAGCTGAAAACAAGGAATGAACCTTGGCATTCCTCTAGTGGGGTGGAGAGCAGCAAGTTGTCTCCTTAGAGCTTGGTGATGATTTCTCACCTGTTTGCCATCTGCTTCGCTTGCTTCATACACTGAGATCTCAACAAGGATTTTTGTCCCTGTGCTGATTATGATCACTGACTTTGTGCCAGTATCCTGGCTTTGCACAGCTCTGCTGTAGGCTGGATCATACTGCGCTCATTTCCATCGTCCCCCTGTGCCCTGCTGTGCCCTCTGTGGCACTCATCTGTTTGGGGCTCCTGGGGCCAGGGTGCTCAGCAATGCTCTGGTGTTGCTCTGGTGGA